TCGAAATATTCGACTGGGTCGATTAAAATGGCCCACCTTGTATATATTTTTTAATACTTATTTTTATTTTTTTTTAACGATTATTCTAAAGTAACTAAAAATTTTCTACGCAATTTTGATAAGTTCTCCTTCCTCGCCATATGAGTATATTTTAATTAGCAAGCCGCCATTTGGAAGGACTATGCGAGAGTTGCTTCGAAAGTTTCTGTAAAATCATAAAAACATATAATTGATTTCTCAAATTGGCTTTATTATTTCTCAAGATATTTTATTACAATTAAAACATTTTTCCATTCAATGAAACCAATCGTCGAAGCATTTTTGTATTTTTCTAGAAGCACCTCAGATACCAAATTTTCGAACGCCACCACCGCCGTATCTGCCGTGTTAAACTTCAAATTACACATTTTATCTTTAATGTAAAATAATAGAAAGAAGTCACAGGGTGCTAGGTCGGGAATATAAGACAGATGAATCATCAATTGTACACGGACATTAGCTAAAAACTCAATTATCTTCTCTGCGATTGTGCGATAATGCGTTATTTTGATCTTGGAAGATAATGTGCGATCTTGGTCGATTTTGACGAATTTGTTCAAACATGGTCGGCAAATTGTTGTGTATCATTCAATATTAACCGTACGACGATTTTCAAGCGTAACAGACACAACAAAACCTTTTCTTGAAGATCAATGCAATTATTTTCTTTTCAACACTGCGACTATGTTTCGCTTTTGTTGAATGTGGTTTGTATGAGAACACTTACACTCGATTGTCGCTTGCTTTCCGGTTCATAGCAATAAATGCATGATTAACCATTTGTTACAGTGTTATATACTGCTCTGAACCGACCGTGATTGTATTTTTTCATATTTAGGCATTTAGGTATTTCGTATTGGGCATTTCTTTGCTCCATTCGACATGCGCCTTTTTAGAACTTCCATTAAGTTGTACGATATCCAACGAGCACATAGCTTTCTGACTCAAAGATGATCATATAGGACTGTTTTAATTTGAGTCATACCAATACCTAGAGACGCCTTAACCCTTTGGGCTTCAATGGGGTATATACGTCCCATCAAGTACTCCAAGATACCTCATGTGCCATACAATTCCCGTTTTATGTTGTATATTTTCTTAACGGACTTTTGTGGTCTGACTGAACATTTGCGACAACCATTTTTTTGCTTTTTATATAAAACTGTTATTCTATACAATAAGAACTTATGGATCGCCAATAAGTACAAATTGTCAAAAATAGTTATCAAAGGGGAAAGAAAAAAATTTGGTCCTAAAGGGTTAATTTCTCTGTAGGTTGTGCAATGATCTTACAGTAAGTGACGTACAGCATCGACCTTCTCCGGAATGGCCGCCGAGGTAAGACGGCTTTCACGGGATTCGTCACTGAGCTCTACTCGCGTTCGATATTCTCGTATCACTCATAAACAGTCCTTTGGGATAGTGTTTCATTGTAAAAAAATCGAACGAAGACTTTTGACACACTGTAGCGAAGTTAACGACTTTTTACGACAAAAGTCGTAAGAAATTACCGCGCGGAAATTTTCTCATGATAAATTCATTTTTTTCCGGAAACGTCAATTTTGAACATGTTTCATGGCTGAATTGATATTTTTTGATGTCAAAAAGCAAAGTGTCATTAAACATGTAAAATTAAGAGAACCTATCAACAGTTTCGATGTGACAAGATGCTTAATGCCATCTTTCGAAGCAACTTACGTAAAAGCATGCCTTGAAATTTTGGGGACAAAATTTACCTCGGCAAACCGTTTTTGAGAGATGCAACTCAGTTTTTCTGTGCATGTGTTTATTGTAAAATAATATCTTAATATTTATGAGAAATACTCTTTACCCCAATTAAAAAGAGTAGTTGCATTTTTTAAAGGCCGTGTAGATGAAGCCTTTAAACCGATAGCTTCTCGTTTAAAAATAGCACTTATATCGTCATAAGTATTTTATGTGCAGTTGCATGAAAATACCGCTCTGATGATATTTCAAAGTCTTCTTTGTGCTTTAACAAGTTTGCCATTTGAAATTGGGTTTTAAAATGTTGCTTACTTCCATGAGAAAAATAAATGTTTTTTCACATTAATGTTGTTTTTTATCTCGTTCATTGATAAGTTTTAAACCATATGTACTGATGCTGTATCGCGTTTAAACAATCTAACAGAAATACCGCACTTTTGTGATTCACATGTTTTTTTCATCTCGGTAATAACACGAGGTCTGTTCAAAAAGTATCGCGAATTTTGAATTTCCGCGGGTTACGTATATTCGATTTTAAATTTTTTGTGGCGTTATGTTGGTACTCATGTCCCTCACTTATGCCGACAAGTTCGGCCATTTTGAATATTCAGTTTATCTTTGACAACTGTTTTGCTTGGACGTGTTTTGGCTCGTCTTCGATTTTTGCCTATTCCAAAAAATGGATCAAAGAATCTGTATCAAATTTTGTGTGAAAAACAAAATTAAGTGCGCGGACGCATTCCGAATGTTGACTGTGGCATATGGTGAAGCTACCTTGGACCGAAGCAACGTTTATCGGTGGTACAAAATGTTCTCAGAGGGCCGAGA